TCCTTCTTTTCCCATCCGTGCTGTTCGATCGCACCAGCTGTTCACTATCGACAAGATACAGGCCCGCCTCGGAAATTTCATGCGCATGCGGCAGACGTTGATGACGGTGGCGGGTTGTCTCCCCACCGTAGCCAGCAGCAGCCGCGTGATGGTAATAACCCCGAGGACACTGCACGCGAGAATGGCCCTGGTGGTGGTAGCAGAGGCGGGCGGACGGATATAACGGGGCTTCAGAGGGACGGCTCGCAGGCACCGCCACGGCCTCCACCATCATTATCATCGCCGACGTTGCCTGGCAAGGGAAACCCCAAAGCGGCGGCGGCTTGTGGGCAGACTGTCACGGGCGGTAGGGAGGAGGGCCACAACCCCCTGCAAGGGCTGGCGAGAAACCTGAGCAGGCGGTTTCAGACGATGGGCGGGAACCGCGCGAGGGCAAAAGGGGCCGCTCCTCATCGTGAGAGCGACGAGAGCCGTAGCGATGGCCGCCGTAGCACCTGCTCCGTCTCCTCTAACAACGGCAACGATGGCGAGCGGCCCGGCGACATGAGTGTCCTCAGCAGGATGGCCTCGCGTCTCACCACCGTCGCGAGCTCGTTCGGCCCCCGGAACCGTGTTCTCAGTCCCACGCCGCGGCGTCCCTTTTGGGGCAGTGAGGTGGACGGCGATGGACGCGGGAAGGCGGAAGAGCCCCCCCCGGACCCTAAGCTCGAACTATGCATGTATTCGTTCGGGGCGCCCCGGGCAGGCAACGCAATATATGCCGCCCGTTACAACGACGTGGTACCCGACAGCTTCCGAGTGGTGGTCGACGGTGACCCAGTCCCTGTAAGTGGGCGCGCGCGCATGGATGTTGTCGGCAGTTCCGTTGATTGTGTGGTGTATTTCTTGCGCTTGTCAGCGATTCGTGTACATCAATACATAAGTAACCCGCTTTCTTCACACGTCTCGGTTTCGCGCTGAATCTGCCCGACTACCATGCCGCGGGGTAGAAGTCAACATGTCGCCACGCTTACCCCCCTCCCGACCGGCACCCCCTGCCCCCCTACGTCGAATTTCGCAGGGAGTCCCCAGCTGGTGGTACACCCATGTGGGCACCAAGGTGTTGATAGACGGTCACGGGAGGGGAAGCTTGATTATTGACCCGAGCTTCGTGGAAAAGAGATTTTTCACCCGGTCCAAGCGACACGTGCTGTCCCACCGCATACCCAATTACCAGACAGGACTCAGGGGCAACCTGTTGCAGGTATATCCCCTGTGTGTAGTTGTTGTTGCTGGGGGTTAACGGCATTGTGTGACGATTGCGCAAACTATGGCCTGCGCGCGTGGACGCCAAACCGCAATCTCTTGTTCGTCCTACATAGTTCTTGATGTCAAGGCCCCCACCACTCCGACTGCCCTTCTCCTCGTGCTCGCGTGGGCAAGAGCGGTGTAACGGGGTCTGCGTTTTAGCGCTTGTGTGCTGCACCTGCTTCCGTGGCTGCACATGCTGGGATCCCGCGCGCAACTGTCAATTAACCCCGGTGTTGGCAGACTCAATCTTCATCTACACAAGTATTGAGCACGATTCCGTGACTCTCATACTGCAACCGCAGGACTGGGTAACCGCGGCTGGCGTGTGCCTCTATACCAGACATTTCGCCTTCCAGTTCCGCCCGTACTCACCAACAAAATATGATCACGCATCCGGCGCTGCGAAATACTCGCTGGACCTTGTCGAGGACGGTCGGCAGCGGCCCCTCCTCGCAATTCTCGAGCTAAACCCGCAAAGACTACATAATATCCCCAAGCGACAATCTCACCGTTGTTAGTCAATTATGCTGTCAACCCTGTCCTCTCGCTATTCCCCCCTCGCGCCGGAACACAGGCGGTACCCCCCGAGTTTCAACGTAGACTGCCAGCTCACTGGCCGTATGGGATCAAGGACGACAGCAGTAGTGATTCCTCTTCAGACGATGATGACGACGATGACGATCATGATGGCGAAAAAGGTGGAACCGGCACGAAGGAACGCAAGGAGGAGGTGGCGGACGTCGGGGAAGAAGCGGATGCGGATGTGGACACGGACAGCGAGGCGGAGGGGCCCCTGCCCTCTTCCCCCATATCGGCGAGGCTGGACATCATGGCTCAGCAAGCGGTAAACGCTCAGAAGAGAGCGGACAAACTTAACCGCGGGCAGTCATTCCGGCTGGTCGCTAGGTCCGTCTCCGGCTTGTCGTTGCGACCGGCCGCTCGTACTACCCTGGTGGGTGCCAGTGCGGGTGGAGGCACTGGTGGCACCGGTGGGGACGGCGGGAGACGTGCTACTACGGTGACACCACGCCCAGGCGATGGTGTCGGCGGATATAGCGGTCGTGCAGAAGGACCAAAGCGCTTGCTCCGTCCCGGGGGTAGTAGTCGGGAATTGGCGACGATGGAGGAAGGCAGCGATTAGGCCATGAGATAGCCCCCTGAGGCGGCATGGATGGAGGGGCCTGCAACAGCGGCAAGGGTGGGGGCGGCGGCGCAAAAGGCGGGATGACCTCCATTCTGAGCCACCATCTCCCGCGGATTGCTCCTCGATATCGCCTGCGGAAGCGGCGGCGTCACGTTCTTCCGGCGATTCCGCGCCATCGTGCTAGTAGGGAAGCTGCATGGTTCGTGTGTGCGTTGAGACCGGGTGCTGCCCTACGGCAACGTGTGTGCGCGTGCACAGAGTAGTCGAACCAGATGGCACGCAAGTATAGCGACGGAGACAGAGGCAGAGACGGAGACGAAAACGAGTACGTTGCGGGTGCGCAAGTCAGGTGCACAATGTTGGTTTTGGGGATGACAGAGACAGTTCGGCTTCGTCGGACGAAAGGTGCCACAACTCTACGAAGAAGCTGGTTGGCCTGATTAATGATTTGGATATTTAGAGAGGGAATTCGGTACAGCGCCGGGAAACGCAAGGCTCGGGGAGAGGAGATACAAGAGGTCGGTGGTGATAAAAGGAAGACTAGAGTAACAAAAAGTGTGATCCTCCTTGTTGTTCACCTCCTATACTACATAGTCGCCGGAACCCCCCCGTCCCCCCGTGCAGTTTTTTGTGTAAATTTAGCTAGAGGAGCTCGTTCCTTTATGTACAGAAGTTTGCTTGACATGTAAGTAGTACGGTGACATTGGTGAGGGCCTAGAATGTCACGGGTGGCCAAAGCAGGTTGTATCTGGTGCACAACCTCCCCACAACCTCTCTAGGGTCAGGTTGTACGCCGACATATGAAGCTAGCCCCGCATCACGGATTGCGTCGTTGGTCCATTCAATAGGGCGGACGGGCAGCGTAGACTACATGTTGTCCAAGGTCGATCCCCAACATCCCAACCTGACCCCGGGGAGGTTAGGCACCACTTACAACCTCCCTTTGGCCACCCGTGGTTCGTTCAAGTTTTGCTGGGTTTCGAGTAGGAAGGAGAGTGGGAGGAATCCCATGTCCCTTGTCACATTTGTAGTAGACGTGACACACAGGCAGGGAGTTGCTCTCGATGTGTTTGATGAGATTGCAGTTGGATATGTGCGCGTGATGGTATTCTTGTGTTCATTGGACCGGGAACCATACCGTGCGTTTTTGCCAAGGAAGGCGTGTCGTGAGGATCGCTAGTGAAATTACGAGGACATGCAGTGTAAGAACTACAGGTCACACAGCAGCACCATGCTAACTCCGGGACTTGTGTGTGTGTGTGTGCTTTCGCCCTATTTAATTATGGCGACAATTCCCCCATTCTTCGTGGTCAGACGTGTACGACACGTATTTCAGTTATTGTGGAGTACTACAGTGCACTTTTCAGTGATTTTTTTCGTACAACTACATCATCCAGAGTCGGGTCGCCAGGGTCACGCAGGAGGGGGTAGACTAAGCACCGGGGCTTTAATTATGTTTATTTTTTCGTGCCCCACCTTCCTCTTGCGGTGCGTTCTAAATTGAGTTTTTATCGCGAAAATGATCCCTAGCATTGTTGTTAAACAGGGGTCATTGCCTCAGCGGCCCCTCTCTCTGCAAGGAGCGGTCCGCGCCCCCTTCTGTTCAGTCTATCCTAAGCAAGGGGTCAGCAAGTTAATGTGTGCTGCTGCATTGAGAAATAAAACAAGAGAGGAAGATGAATATACAAGTGAGTCGTCATCATCAGGGTGTTAAGGGATTGCTACGCGTGTGAACCGCACAACAACAGGGCACTGGGTTTCTGGACAAGTTAAATGGTACATGGCGCGTAACAAATCAATTGGAAGAGCAGTCGGGGTTAGCAGCCTGCCCACAGCTATAACAATTCTGCTGCACATGGGAGTACAATATAGTGGTGCACCGTTACATATAATGCGCTGTTACGTCGCGAATTATGTATGCCTAGAGGTGAATTATGTATGCCATTCCATGGGCCTGCAGGAGAGGCGGGGTAGTTGCAAATTCCGTCGCACAGCCTGCCGGAGAGAATATGTACTGCATCACGGGTGCGAGGAACTCACAGGTGTTTTTTAGTTGTTGTGCGACTATGTGCACAAAGACTACAAAAAGAGAAAAAGAGTCGTCGACGTCCACGACAAAAAACCAAATCTACACCACTTGCCCATTTCTTTCATTGCTTACAACTTCAAGCACTTCCTTCCATTTTTTTTCCTACGGGTTCGGGTATTACGCAAGCCCGCCTCCCCGGCAAGGGGGCCGGGCGAAGCACGGTCCTCGTATTGTTTATCCTTTTTTATTTTTTGTTTTGGATTACGTTCTGAGCGGGGAGCGAATTCCTGACTTGCAATAATAGTTACCCACGTCTTTCCCCGGGATATTTCGCCCATTGCCCTTATCGGCCTTTTATTATTACATCGCCGATCATCAGAGAGAGTACTGCTGATTATATGTATGTATGTACTCTGTGTAAAAAACAAATCAGGTTTTCATTTATTACAGTGGATTGTGGACTGATTACATATATATAAAGACAGACTAGAAGACCAGATGAACACAATGTGTTCGCGCACAACTTGTTGTGCCGCATACTATACATACATATATACCACTCGCGTGTATTTTGTATACCCAGATGAAAAGCAGGCGGGCCGGCCACTCATCATGGGATATATTTTTAACCTTCCTTTTGCCAGTAGACGAGATCGCAACCGGTGCGAGATCGCGATTTAACCGACCCTGCCCGGTGCAATGGAAGTATACCTGGGAGCGAGTATGTAGTAGGTAGCATCATACCGTTTGGTCTTTACACTCACCGTGTGCCATTTCCCCGACCGGTTTGCCATCTCATCTCCGCCACTTACGGACTTGCGTCCTGTCGGTGTTTTATTGGGTAGCGGAGCTGCTGTGTCCACGCATCACCACACTGATTGTTGTGTTCGTATCTGCTGTCCAACCATCCTCACATTCCCGACGCACACAACAGCTGATAGTTGCACATTAGATAGGTGAACTGCGGACAAACACCTGCTCCTTCAAATCAGGTACTGACACTATTGGGACCCCACGTGGGACGTCCCATGGGACACGTGGGCCCCGTCCCATGGGACAGGTGGGACATCCCACCTGTCCCATGCGACGGCCCATACGGACGCGTGGGACACGTGGGACGTCCCATGGGACACCAAATCTAGAACGTGGGACTCGTGGGACGCCCCATGGCACCACGCTAGGTACGTCCCACGCAGCGCTCGAACAGGCGTGGGACGTCGCAGCCAGCCTCCCCTATGGTGTCCCACTGCTGTCCCACAGGCGGTCATAATAATTAGCTATATTTATCAGCTAATGAAAGATAAGAGAATACGATGCATGAATACCGAGTTTGACTACTTCGAACTCACTCGTATTGTTGGAACAGGGATGCCGGCGTGCAATGGGCCATGCGTCCGATACGATGCTCGACGAGGAGCATTCGACGCCCCATGGGACACGTTGGACGCCCCTAGCTGTGCCATGGGTCACATGGGGCGTCCACTTGCTGTCCCATGGGACACGTGGGGCGTCCAATGCTGTGCCATGGGACACGTGGGACGTCCGAATCTGTCCAGCGGGACAGACATTGGACGCTGGGACCGACTTGGACGCCCCACGTGTCCCATGGCACAGCCATATTGGCGACCCAGACATCCCGTTGGACGCCTGGGACCTGGGGCGGCTCATTTGAGCCAAGACGCCTAACCAACGCGTCCCACGGCGTCCCAGTATGTGACCCGAATGCGCAGCTTGGACCCTCTCCTAACTAACTAAGGGTTATCCACCCACGGCGAAGGGAAGTCCCACGCTGTAAGTGGACCCCTTAAACAGATTGAGTTCCCGTCCTTGTCCACTGGGGCGTCCAATTTGTCCCCAAGGGCTGCTCCAACCGACCTATCGATCGTCCCACGCAGTGTCAACCGTGTGTATATATATGTAGCAGTAGTAGTAGCACAATGCGAACTATGGGTTCTTGGGATGCCCACCATGAATAATCCCGGGACACTGTTTTCCCGTGGCGGAAGTTGTACTTCTTGAAAACGGAAGCGGCGGTGGGAAAATCTGAGGGTATGCCAACGCTTGAGGTAGGTGTTGTTGGAGATTGAAGATCGGGGTACGATACAAAAAGAACCCGATTGTGTGCGGAAACGGTCAGAGGCAGGCAGACCTGTCGTGTCTGAGGTGGCGGCGTGTCCCATGGGACATTACATGTGGGCTGTCCCATGGGACACGTGAGCCGTCCCATGGGACAGGTGGGACGTCCCACGTGTCCTGTGGTGTCCCATGGGACGTCCCACACGTCCTACGGGACGTCCTACGTGTCCCATGGGACACCATGGGGCGGTCCTAGCTGTCCCATGGGACACCATGGGACACGTGGGACGTCCCAGGGCTGTCCCATGGGACGTCCCACGTGGGCTCCCATAAATTAAAGTACTTTGTTTCATATTTTGCAGAGAAGATTGGAAAGCGTGTGCGAGTCATGCCATTCTAGCCCGGGTGAAACAGACGAAGGCACTCGGGACTTACGCCACAAAGGGAAGCTACTTCGGGGATAGATGACAAAGTCGAGGTGATCATGGATTCCACTCACACGATGGCACCATCCATGGTTGAAATCGCAGTACGGCCAATCACGCCCTTTGTCTACTACCTCGGGATCTGTTGAAAACAAACATCCGTTTCTACCTCACGTTGTTACGGAACCAGGGGTGAAAATTCCGGCGCCGCGCTCCGGGCCGAACTAGGACCCAGTACTACCGCCACTTGCTTGTGAATCGTCGAGGACAACATACATACACACCCGATTGCATGTTCTAGCAAGACTGGATCTCGATGGCATCGAGGGTTTTTGAGAAGAAGCAAAAGTTCTCTCTAGAACAAGTGCCCCTGGGGGCTCCGCAACGATTCGCCTAGATATGAGAGCCGGGGACCGGCGAAGCCTCTTTTCTTCCCTTCATCCCAGGATGGCAATAAAGGCTTGAAG